TTTGATATTTTCTGTTCTTATATTCTTTTAGTAGATTTTCATATATAGTATTAAGATATAGTATTATATATATCTTTTCTATATCTTTTTCTATAATATAATTACTATTTTGTATTATATATTTTGAATATTTAAAATATTTTTGCAAATTAGTTTATTGATTATTATTGATACTATAATAAATAAAATATTTCAATATTACATTGTATCTCTTTTTTTATCTTAACTTTTTCAAGTTATTTAATTTTTTTTATTTTCTATAACTATTCATAATTTTTATTTTTTATTTTGATTAAATTTTATTTTGAAATATTTTAATTTTTATTTTATATTGTTTTCTTTTCAAAATTTTATAAGTTGCTTTAATTATTGTTCTAGAAAATTTTTAGCTATGGTTCAAAACCATTCTAAAATAGATTATTTGCTTGTATTTTATAAAAGTTGGAGTATTCTCCAATTTCTTATTTTCTTTATTTCTTGATTAATTAGTTTATTCAAATATATTAATTTATTTTTTCTAAATAATGGTATAGCTTTTTTGTATTTTTTGATATAATATGTTTTTCAATTAGACTATTTTTTTTATTTTATTTAAAAGTATCTTGCTATTTTTAATTTCGAAAGATTATTTTTATATTTTTTATCAATTTAATTACTTGAAGTATAAAGTTATCTTTATTTAATAAATAATTTAGTAATTGATAGATCAATAGGTTAAGTGGTTTCCAATTTTTTATTTGTGCTTGTTTAAGCTTAATAATTGTTAAAATTCTTGTTAGTTTAAGATCATTTAGTTTATTGCATAATCTGATTATTTAGTTTTTTTATTGCAACATTCAAATACTTTTCAAGTTATAAATCCTTGAATAATAAATTATATTATTGAATATAAATTTATATATAGTACATTTAACTTTTTCTTTTAAGAAGAATGACATACAATTTTTTTTTCTTGATCTTATATTCATAAATATAAAATATGTTGTTTGAGAACCTCAATTTTAATAAATATAGTTAAATCTATATTTAAGTTTTTTGCTATAATATTATCAAGTATTAAGTATTTATTAATCTTGATATCTGATTGAACTTATCTTGAGTAGTAAGAATATTGAAAATGATTTAGATAGCCTATGTTTCTTTCTTCTGATTATGCTTTTCATTTATTTTGACTATTGAATTGAGAATATGAAGTTTTCTCTTCTTTGCAATTTATATAATTTTTCATTCTTTTGTTATACTGATTATATAAAAAAAAAAAATAAATTACTTATTTGTTATTTTGTTTACTTTTTGTTTATTTATATTTAGCAATATTTGTAAGGTTAACTATTTGTTTTCTTGTTTGGATCTTGTTTACCCAAATGAGTTATTGATTCTTTCTATTTAATTCTACTTGTTTATTAAATTTATTATTGATCTTCTTTGTTATGATAGAATAATCTATTTTGTTTATAAACTCTTGATAAACTTTACAATATTATTTTGATACTACAGTATACTAATTGATATACTGTGTATATATTTTTATAACTTGTTTTATTGTTTAATCAAATGTGTATAAAATCAAAATACTTTACTATTTAATTTTTGAGAGCCTTTAATAGTCTTTTAATCTTTATAAACTTTAAGTTTTTTAGATTTATCAGTAAAAACTACTATTTATAATGTTTTTTCTAATATCTGGAAATGTGTAAATTGATATTGGCCTGGTTAGAAGCTATAGAAGTTAGTATTGGACTCTTTTAAGCTTATTATGAATTAGCTTGTAGATGTGTTTCTTTTTTTATAAAGTAAAATTGAAATAATATTATACTATCTATACTTCTTTTAATTGATAGAATGATTTTATGAAAAGTAATTAAGTGTTGTAATTTGTTATTAAGTCTCAGATTTTGAAAAGATAAAGTGTTTTTTAAGCTAATTTCTTTTTTTCAAAAAAATTATTAAAAAAGAAAATTTTTTAAAAAAAGGAGATCAGTGGAAAGAGTATATATATTGTTTATACTTTGAGTTTTATTTCATATTATATTTATTTTAAATTAAAAATCTAAATTTTGTAACAACTAGTAATTAAAATTAAAAAAAAAAATTTTTTTTAATAACTCAATATTAAAACTTTAAAATTATTATCTTTTAATTCAATTTTATTTAAATTGATAAAATTTTTAGTTTTTAAAAAATTATTATTAAAAATAAAATTTAATATTTAATATTTATGTCATTATTTTTTAAAATTTAATAATTTTAATATTATTAAATTCTTTGAAAATTTAAAATATTTGTTAAATAAACTAAATATAAAAAAATCGAATTTATATAAACAAATGAAATACATTGTATATAATAAATAAATAGAACCAATAAAATACTTGTTGAAATATTTAACTTACAAGAATTAATTATAAAAGATTAAAATAAATAAGTAGAAGAAATTTTTAAAAAATTCAAAAAGTTTTAACAAGAAAGAAAAAAAAATAGAAAAAAATTAACCTTAAATTAATTATAAATAATAGAAAGAAAATAGAAGAATTAAATTAATAAATAACTAAGCTAATGAAACAAACTTTAGAAAAAAAGTCAAGATATATTAATTAAAAAAGATTAAATATAAAAAAAAATTGGATTTTGATTATTGTCAAAACTTAACAAAAGTGATCTACAATATTAGAAGTTGGAAGTGTTTTTACCTGAATTACTTACTAATGGAGTAATAAATCATTCCTGAAGTTGCACTTAGAATAGTAATAATCAAGAAGAGTGAGTTAGTTAAATATTTAGCTTTAGTATCACATTTCATATATACAGTTTACAAATGTTTAATAAAGCACACACAACTAGCCTGATAGAGATAAAAAAAAAAAAAAAAAAAAACAATCATGTGCATTATTTTTAACTATAGACTTTAGACTTTATTTGAATGCCAAATCTTAAATTAGACTCCGGGTTTCCTTTTATTTAAAATCAGATCTGAAAATTAATTTAAGTATAAAAATTTCACTCGAATGTAATGCGTAAAGATAACGCGCGGAGAACACTTCCGATGTCTTTTATTTTTGGTAAAAAATCTCTGATAGAAATACCAAGCTGCTTTTCGTTTTGTTTCCTGATCTTTGAAAAAATACAATGGTAGGATTGGTATGCAAGAATTTTATTATTCGAGTTTATGGCATGTATGATGACTTTTATTATATTTAACTTATTGCATAATAATAATTTTATTTTATTTTTAAAAAAAAAATTATTTGCTATGGAATTTATATACCAACAATTACACAAGTGAATTGATATGTAATGGAAAATATAAAGTTTAAAGAATATGTACACGTTACACTTTCATCTTTATCTTTATCGAGAGCCATTAAGCAAACTTAAGGAATTCCCCATGACAAGTAAGAAATAAGTTCAACTATATTTTAACGGTTGGGCAAGTTCTCATTTGTAATATGGGTGCATAAAAAATGACAATAAATGATTCAATCAGACGATCCAGTAACATAGCTTTTAAGTAAAGTTATCCGTTACCTTCTTAATTATTCTCTTCTTTATCACATTCGCGACGTCATTTAGGATGGGTACGAAAAAGTTAAGTAAAGAAATCGAATACTTTCTTTTAGGAATCATGTTTGACGCTTTGAAGTAGATTACGTATAATTAATTGAGAGTGCCAAGTAAAATATGGACGTAATTATTTACAAAATAATTTATCGCGTTATATTTGATATATGAAAAGAGATGCTCGATTAATAAAAGCTTGGTTTGCTAAAGGCTTTAATGACATACGACGAATTAATGTAGTCGGGGTAGTTTAAAAAATAAAAGGTTCATTAGAAACAATCGTCCGCGCAGCGCAATCAACAAGCTTTAAATTTCACATTGAACCAAAGAATAAGAAGTACTGTACTAGGATGCTAACGAAACTTTAACCTCTTAACGATGTCAAAATGTCATAATAAATGTTAAGTGGTTTATCCGCTCTACAGGGCGGTGTTATTAAGAGATTCTAATCAAATTGGTTTATATTTTTTACTTTTGATGCGTTATTACCACTTGAACAATTTTCATCTTTATTCATTACCGGCAATAGTGATTTTGAAGGTAAGGTATTACTTATTCGGCGAAATGATTAAAAGGTAAGGCATGATCTACTTAAATGAATTACCTTCACATGATGAAATTTTTTATTAAAAATAAAAAATAGTCGAAAACATGACGCAATGATTGTATAAGACATAATCGTTGTACTTCATATGTGAAGGCGCGTGACGTCTTACAAAACATGCGAATAGAATAACCAAACTTTAGAATTTGGTTGAGATACTTATTTTTATAGCTAAAATTATTTGTTCGATTCATTACCATTTAAGTTTTTCTTTCTCGTGGCTTGTCGTATCGAACAAATGAGAGACGTTTCTTACGATACCAATACGTAATACGACGTAATGCAATATCACATTACATTTCGTATCACTAACCAAGCGAGATATGTCACACGGCAGAAGTATTACATGATGTTCGAACAGTGCGTCTTCCCTATGCTCGGGATAATTAATGCACGCATCTACATTACCAAGCATCAGTTCGCCGCCTTCTGATTAGATGCTTGTAAGAAATTACGCGGTTTTTAGTCGCGAATTTTGGGCGTTAATATATAAGAAGCACAAACTTTTGCATAGCAAAGTATGCGCATATGATAACATTTGCATTAGACTGGTTTTTTCTTCTTCTGCAGTTCTCGAGATTTGTCCGTAAATACAATGTGTACCAGCGTATCGGTTGGATTGTGAGACGCGCAGCGCATGCACACAGATTGACGATCTACGTATTGCGTTTTTTGAATTACGTATGCACTTAATCATACGTAAATGTATAGCTTTAATAATTTTCGAATCAGTTTCGGTCTCCTCTGCACCTCCAACCTTATCTTCCCTAGATTGAAATACAGAAATTTTGTCGTCTACAACAAAAGGTTACTTACGACTGTCAAGAATTCAAGCAGAATGGCTACTTGGTCTTATCCTCCCGTTAGACGCGACGAGTCTTTTATCGAAGAATTGCACGGTGTAAAAGTCGCTGATCCGTATAGGTGGCTTGAGGATCCTGAAGCCGAAGAGACAAAGGTGAGAGTATGGCATAGTACGCCAAAGCATTGCGTTTCTTTTTTACTTTAGTGCGTGTATACCTTGAATAATTCTCACGGGATAACATTACATTAACCCTAGGAATTCGTGACTGCACAAAATGCGCTTACGGCAAAATACTTGGAAACATACCCACACCGCGAGAAATTTCGTGAGACGTAATGTTATCATTGATGATGGATTGTGATCAAAAAATATATCTCCTCAGCTTAAAAAATTCCTTTTCTCCCTATCTAGTTTGACCGAAATGTATGATTATGAAAGATATGGCTGTCCGTTTAAAAGAGGCAATCACTATTATTATTTCTATAATACCGGACTGCAAGCACAGGAGTATTTGTTTTTTTATAACAGTTCATATAGTCATTATTGCTACTCGTGCCATTCGCACTCATCCACGTCGTTTACTTTTGAAAGTGTTTTGTACCAGCTGAAAGATTCCCTGGATTCCAAACGCGTCGAATTTTTCAATGTGTGTGAATGTGATGCTTTTGAAATTTTTTTTTTTTTTTATCAACAAGTTAAATTTTTCAGTTCAAGCTGCTATCTTAAATTTTCCTTTCATGATCCATCTTTGTCTGTAGCCAAATATTATCGAAAAAGATGGTACGGCATCTCTTAGAACATATTCCTTTTCAAAGCACGGAAATTATTTTGCCTATGGTATTTCCAAATCGGGTATGTAATTTCTTTAATACGCCATAACTTATTCTCGAGATTTGATTTATTATTAAACCCACGATTATTTAAAAATAGGCAGCGACTGGGTTACTGTGCATTTAAAAACAACAAATCTTGAAGAACAAGTTCAGTTGGATGATGCTGTCGAATGGATCAAATTCTCGACGATTAGCTGGACTCACGACGAGGCCGGTTTCTTTTATCAAGTGAGAAAAAATTAGACACCATTATTAGACCCTTAATCTCGATTGTATTTAACTTATTTATTTATTTTAAAATGTTCGTGTAGAAATACCCTCGACCAGAAAAGGATGTCGACAAAGGCACCGAAACTGATACAACCAAAAATGCAATGGTAATTTTCGAAAAGTGTTTCGGATATTGCGAATGATACTTTAAAAAGTAACGGATTTTTTTCATCACTAAACATTCGCGCTTCCCTTTTTGATCAAAGATTTACTATCATAAATTAGGAACCCCACAAACAGAAGATATTCTCATCTACAAAGACCCCGAAAATCCGGAGTATATGTTTAATGTTCGGATCTCGGAAGATGGTCGATACGTTATTGTCGATATCACAAAGGATTGTGATCCAATGAATAAATTATGGATTTTTGACCTAGAAAAGTCTAATTATGAAATCACCGGTACGTAATTTATTATACACGCGTAAAAGTTCTCCAACGTTAATTATTTTCGTTTTGACAAATTAGAGAGGTTCGATTTTTTCAAGGTCGTGGATAACTTTGAGTCAGAATTCTCTTAGTAAGTCGACACATCTGATTATCCTGAGGATTAAAAGTTCAAGTTAATAATTCCATGATTTCATTTTGCAGTATCACCAATGACAACACGAGATTTTACTTCAAAACCAATTTAAACGCACCCCGCTACAGAGTGGTCAAATATGATCTGGCTCATCCTGAAGAAGTGAGTGTCTGCCTCCTATTTATAATCGTTCTATTTATGTATTAATATACGTGCACTTTACACAGGGTTTCACAGAAATTGTGGGCGAGCATCCAAAAGACGTTCTTTCGAGCGCCGATGTCGTGGCCGAGACAAATTTGGTTTTGACATACATGCATGATGTTAAAGAAGAGATATGCATACATGATTTGACTACCGGAAAGCACATATTAGACTTGCCACTTCCAATAGGATCCGTGGAATCTCTTAAGGGAAGAAAAGAAGATACCGAATTTTTCTTCAAGTTTATCAGCTTTTTGAATCCCGGGATTATTTATAGATATGATTTTATAAATAAGTCTCTGAAAGAGTACAGGGTCACAGCCGTCAAGGGACTGAAAAGTGATTTGCTGGAAACGAAGCAAGTTTTTGTGAACGGCAAGGATGATACAAAGATACCGGTGTTTATCATTGCCCTTAAGGTTAGTTCGTGAACATGTACTTTATTACGATTTTTTTTTTTTTTTTTTGCTTCATACCTTGACATGTCAACACGATATTGTGCAGAGCATCATTCTTGATGGCAATAATCCTACTCTTCTGTACGGGTACGGTGGGTTCAACATAAGCATAACCCCAACTTTCAGTCCCTCTTGGATAAATTTTATTCAGCATTATAATGGTGTTGTGGCTGTTGCTAACATCCGTGGTGGCGGTGAATACGGAGAGGAGTGGCACAAGGCAGGAATGCTAGCAAACAAGCAAAATGTTTTCGATGATTTCCAGGTATTTATTCTTTAGAAGTCGTAAAGAATTGAATTACATTTCAGACCCCTTATTAAGATGTTTATGCAATATTAAGGAAGTTTCTAAATGGCTGGTGGAAAATAAGATTACAAGGCCCGAGAAATTGACGATCAACGGTGGTTCTAACGGTGGCTTGCTAGTTGGTGCATGTGTTAATCAGGTATTGTTTTATTTCTGAACAAAAGTGCATATTTTTTATGTTCACACACCAACTTCACATCCTTTACGCACTCAGGCGCCCGAATTATTTGGTTGCGCTGTGGCTAGCGTAGGTGTTATGGATATGTTGAGATTCCATAAATTCACAATCGGGCATGCGTGGCGAAGTGACTACGGGGATCCGGATAAAAAGGAAAACTTTGAATACATTTACAAGTACTTAACATCCAGTTTTCAATATGGTTTTGTAATTGACTTTTGATTCCAGGAATTTGTTCCTTCTTTACGCCGATGCACATTATTCATTTATTTATTTATTCTCATTCGTCTCACACTTTAATCAACCATTGCACTTTTCTTAGGTATTCTCCAGTTCACAATGTAACGTCCGGCAAGATATATCCCGCAGTGTTGTTGACCACTTCTGATCATGACGACAGAGTGTAATTAATTATTTGATCATTTTAGGATTTTTAAATTCACTTGTCTCTATACTAACCTCACAAAACCCAATAACCTTTTCAGAGTTCCTCTACATTCCTATAAGTACATAGCAACATTACAGCATGTTGCTAAGGAAAATCCAAATCCTTTGACAATCAGAATAGACACTAAAGTATGTTCATATTCCGATCTCACTTATTCAATGGACAGATAACATTAATTTACAAAAAAAATTCTGAAAAATCTTAATCTTATTTTTTTCCAGGCTGGTCATGGTTCTGGAAAACCTACGAAAAAGATAGTAAATATTCAGCGTTCACTTTATGTTCTGATTGGGCGTTCTGTTTATTAATTCATCTTCTATCCGCAGATTGATGAGTCTACGGACAAGTACTCTTTCATCGCGTTATCCACTGGCGCCGAATGGGTAGACTAGGATATCTAAATTTAATTATTTAACATGAGTTAATAATATTGCGTTAATAAACAACACAGAAAATACCATGAAACAATAATGTCGATTTTATTTAATTTTTTAATGATAAATTTGAAAATCACTTTACAATGCTCTCAATCATTGGTTCAGTAATAAAATCTATTGAGATATTGAAGGATTCATTAGTACAATCAAATTTTTCTATCTATAAATATCAACTGTAGATTCTCATTTACGGCCCTAAGAGAGAATCGTGCATTGGAAGATCGAGATGACTTTGATATTTATTTAACTAGATTGAATGTTTAGTGCATCGGATAGCCGAAAATGATCAATTGAAATCACGATTTGAGTAACATTACAGACTATGTAAAGTCAAATATGGAATGCTTCATAATACGAGAAGGTTTCATACAAGGAGATATACAGTAACTAAGTATTTGATGTCACCAATGCACTAAATCGTGAGTATACTGATAGTTGCATCATCCGAGGTTGCGTGAGACGAGTATCAGGAAAATTGCTCTGGATTCTAACTTAACAATGCAACCAATTTTAAAATTGTTCGAACAATTATTGTAACTTTTTATCGAGTTAGTTGTGTATTTGATGTTCGAATATTGATAACCTATTTTAACGGTAACCAATTTTTATATTCAACCAAACTTTTATTAAATAAAAAATCCAAAAAAAAAAAAAAATTCTTTGAACATTTAAATAATAAAATTTTCTTGGGCAAAGTTTTTGAAAAGATCTCTTTACCCAATCAAGCAAACTTTTTTAGTATGATGTTAACATAAAAGATTTAATAAGTGAATCCATATATTAATAAAAAGATAAATCCCTCGAATATTCTTGAAGAAACCTTAATATTCAGAAATGATCAAGTTCCTCAGATACAATATATTTTAGATTAGTTGTTGAATATAATCAATGATCTTTACTAACATGCTTTGCATTTCAAATAATGTTTGTAACAAATTAAATTATTATTATTTTTTTTTTAACTCACTATCATATCATGATGACTTGTCTTTATTGAGAAATTAAAATTAAATCTATAATAGTTTATAGACTTTCACAACATGACTAACTCACTTTCATACATAAGTACTTTAAGTTAGATTTTGAAATGATATTACACTTCCCTAATAGATTGGTTATAACCTGTATTTACCAGAATTATTGTCAACAGTTTGTTACTATTGGTTGATCTAAAAATCAATAAACTGCTAAGTTAAAAAGGAGAAAGGAAAAACATGATTGAAGAAAGGAGACAATTCAAGATTTATCAAAAAAAATCCAAAAATAAGAACAATCTCTTCTCAAAAAGAATTTATTTGATTAAAATAGTTTTCTTGCTTCATTTGAACCTAAAAAAAAATTCTCTTTTTTATTACCTATAACATTGGACAAGTCAATTTAACTGGTTTTTTATTTAAATAAATACTGGATTGAAATATTTCAAGAAAAACATTTAGATCTCAACTTTTTTTTATTAAAGCTTTATTACTACCCAAGAAACTTAAGTAAAAAACAAAAATTCACAATTTATATTATTTATTATTTAATCTTTTGATATTATAGATGTTTTTATTAAAGAACTTGGACTTCTGTGATAAATGTTTTTAAAATATTCTTTCCAATCAATAATAATATCATTAAAACACATGAGTATAATCAATAAGAACTTGTTTACATTCTAAATACTAATATATTTTATTTTAACTGATTGATCTTTTAATAAGGTTATATGCTACACAAAATTAGAATTAAACTTAGATAGGCAAAATTTCTCAAAAAATCATGAAAATAAAAGCTTTAAAAAGATCAAAACAATAAAAAAAAAATAAAATAGATTCTTTTACTGCAAAAAAGCTCTATAAACTACTTGTTCCAAAGATTAAAAAAAAATCTTTAAGTACTTTACAATCTATTTTTTTTTTTGAAAACTTTTTTATTATTAATATTAAAGATATTACTTGACTTTAAATAGTTATTAAAAGTCAAATTTTTGAGTAAAAAGATTGATAGTAAAAAAAAAAAGAGTAAAGATGACTCGACTCATGAAATTATACTTCAAATTTTATAAAAAATATATTAAGACTTTATTAATAAAGAAATATAAAAATTTTTCATAAACATATTTTTTGTATATAATTAAAAAATTAATATATAACAAATTAAATTGAATTAGATTAAATTTAAGTAAAACGAATATAAATCTATCAGAATAACTTTATAACTTTGTTTTATAACTATAATTAATACTATAATAAATAAAATATTACACTTTAATCTTATATCCCATTGTTTTTTGTTTTAATCTTTTCTAAGTTATTTGTTCTCTATTATTATTTCTTATTACTACTTATAGCTTTTGTTACTTACTTCTATTTAATTCTACTATAAGGTATCTAGTTTTCATTTTATACAATTATTTTTTCAGATTTTTATAAATTATTACTATCAATTCTTTGAAAAAAATTTTATTATAGTTTGAAACCATACTAAAATATAACCTTTATCTATTTTTTATAAAAGTTGAAACATTTGCCAATCTCTTATTTTCTCAGCTTCCTGATTAAATAACTAGTCTATATATATTAATATATTATTTTTGAACAATAATATAACTTTTATATAATTTTTTAGTATAAAATATTTCCAAATATAACTATTTTTCTTACTTTATTTGAAAATGTTTTACTTTTTATAAAAAGTTATTCTTATATAATTTGCTAATTTATTTACTTGAAATATAAAATTGCTACTATCAAATATATGATTTAGAGATTTATAAGTTAACAAATTGAGTAATTTCCAGTTTTTAATCAGTACTTGTTTAAGTTTAATAATTGTTATAATACCTACTAATTCAAAATTATTTAGTCTATTGCAAAGTTCTGATATTTGACTTTTATATTGCAATATTCAAATATTTTTCAGATTGAAAATCTTAAGGTAGTTAGGTATTAATCTATATAAAATACTTTTGTATTTGAAAAGTTTTTTATATGCTACTATTAAAATATTATATATTTTTCAGGACAATATATTATATTGCATTTTAAATTTTATCTTAGACATTAGTACTCTATTTAAAATATTAAAAGTTTATTTATCTATTATTCTTTTGTTCTTAAGAGTACTGATTATTGAATTGACTTCTCTAAACATTTGCTTTTTAAATTTTATTATAGTTTTTTGACTACCTAATCAAATTTCAAGAAATCTATCTTGTTCTATCATATTAAATTTTTTGACTACTTTATTTTCTATACCTGTTTAAATTTCTTCTAAATAGCAATTAGGATTATTAATAATTACCAAAATTAATTTGCTACTATTAATATGAGAGTCATTCATTTAATAAAATTTTTTATTATTTTTAGGATCTTTTATATTTTTCTTAAATCTTATTATTTCTATCATATCATTTATAAAGATTATAACTATATATCTTAATTCTAGCTTTTTAGTAAAATGTCTTTTTAAATTTAGATTTTAAGTT